CTCCTCATTTCAGGGAATAATTTGACTGGCGAAATCCCTTCTTCTTATTGTAATTTTACTTCTCTTGAAGTTCTAGTCTTAGCTAATAATAGTTTGGGAGGAAAAATTCCAGAATGTCTTGGAAACTTGAGTCATCTTATCATCTTGGATCTACGGATGAATAAGTTCCATGGTAGCATTCCAAATTTATTTGTCAACAACATTGCCTTGTTAACTCTCAGCCTAAACAACAACCAGTTGGAAGGGATACTGCCACGGTCTTTGGTTAATCGCAGTAAGTTGGAAATTCTAGATGTGGGGAACAACAACTTGACTGATACCTTTCCACATTGGTTAGGTGTTCTTCCATTGCTAAAAGTTCTCATCCTTCGATCTAATCGATTTCATGGTGCCATCAACAATTCTATGCCTGTGTTTTACTTCCCTCAGTTGAGAATCATTGATGTGGCAGAGAATGAGTTTTTGGGTCTCCTACCGAGTAACTATTTCAAAATTTTGAAAGGTGTGAGAGATGTAGATGATAAAGTTGACTTGGAATACATTGGTTATTCAATGTATTATGATTATTATTATCAGGATTCTGTGAAGGTAGTAATGAAAGGGTCAGAGAGGGAGCTTGTAAGGATCTTGAAAATTTTCACAACTATAGATTTCTCAAGTAATCAATTTCATGGATCGATTCCTGACGAGCTAGGAGAACTCAATTCACTTTTGTTGCTAAACTTATCTCACAATAGTCTCAATGGTCAAATCCCGTCATCACTGGGGAAATTAGCAGAACTTGAGTCATTAGATCTCTCATCAAACAAGCTTGAAGGCAGGATTCCAGAGCAATTGACAAATCTGACGTTCCTATCAGTTTTGAATCTTTCATACAATGAACTTGTGGGCCACATACCTGAAGTGAAGCAGTTTAGTACTTTCTCAAATGATTCCTACATTGGGAACTCTGGGTTGTGCGGAATCCCATTGACAAAGAAATGCGACGAACCAAGACCACCTTCACCACAATTTGATTTTGATGAAGAAGATGACTCTACAGCAGTCTTTGAGTGGAAGTTTGCATTGGCAGGCTATGGGTGTGGACTGGTGTTGGGACTTAGTCTAGGATACATTGCCTTCACTATAGGAAAACCATGGTGGTTAGCGAAGAAAGTGGAGAAATATCAGCAGAAATTAGTTGGAAGGTGCAACGGAAGGCATAAGAAGAGAAAAACCCAAAAACCCAACCAACGCTCTTAAGTGAGTAAGTTTCTACAACTCTCTCTATAATATTTGTGTTCTCTATAAGTTCTAACCATAAAAATCAAGGCATGTTATATAATAGTGAAACTTAATTTTTCTACTTTTGCTTTATTTTATGTAGGTGCAAGTAGGTGCGGTTGATTTCCTACTCCGGGGTGATCTAACAACAGTTGGTTCTTGAGTTTGTTTCCATCTTTTTCATGTTCATTGTTGATATATAGTTGTATTGACTTGTGTGGGAATTATGGTTATGTATGAATTGGTGTTGATTTCTTTTGGATTTCTTTTTGCTCTGCATGCAGTTGCTTATGTATTTTTCTTGGTGTAATTTGTTTCATTTGATGTTATTTACCTCTGCATATTTTCTTCTCTCTTCCTTTGTTTTGGCTGTTTTTGAACGGTGCGTTTTACTGAATAAAATGTAAAAATTCTTTAATTTTTGGACCCCCAATGCAAATGTCTCCTTTTCCCCCAAACGGTGTAGAAGCGGAGATGCATTCGACGAATCTTTGATGACAGCTAAGCGATTTCAGTGAGGATTATTACTTAGGAGGGCTGGGTGAGGGACAATCCCAACCTCCTTTGCTCTCCGGAGGCCCACCCTCTAGCCATGACCAAACTCAAATCTTATTCTTTGGCCGGTGGTCTGATTCATAGGCAGGTAATTTTCCTTGGTGTTTTCCTTCTGTCTGGAGATGTCAATTTGTGTCTTAAGGGGGGAAAACTGTAATTTTCCCTGAGTGGAATAAATTAATGTGTTTTGCCTTTACTACTTAAAAGTTTTTGATATTTTTTTGCTGCATATGCCAAGGTTGAGATAAGATGTTTCTAGCATTAACATATGTAAGTTCTCATTTGTAAACTTTCATTTAAATTATGAGGTGTATGCACTGTATTCATGGCTAATCAGTGTAAGTCATACCACATTGAGTAGAGATCATTCAATGTAATCTTATTTTGCTGAGATAAATTACAATTATTATATTTGTTGTTCTTTCTGTCAACTCATCAATGGATATTTTTCTCACAAAATGGTATATCTTGTGAGCATCCTCAAATTGAGTCTATGGAGCTAAGAGAGAGACGACACAAGATTACATCCTCAGGAAAGGTTTCTGTTGTGATGGTTGAAATAATTACTTGTTTTGATAGCTCTGATATTCAGGTACTTATTTTGCAGTCAAAGGCTAAGAGTTATTCTTGAATTGAAACATGCAAAATGTCTTTACCTGTTATTGCCATTGATATTGCATTGTCTTATGAATTATTTCTTGTATCATGTATTAGACCCAGTTTCTTGCTTTTTCTTTCTCATTTTGCTCTGTGCACTCACCAAAACTTTGTATTACTCTGGGCCTCGATTAACTAAGAGAGATTTTTTTATTGTTATCAGATTCAGTTAATTAAAATGTAATGGAAATTGGGAAAGTAGTTATTGCAAGTCTTATGTGTTTCTGTTATATTCAGGCATCCAAAGTGATTGTGATACTGTGTTGCTGTCTATTTATCCTAGATGCTATTGCTTTTTAAATTTTATTTTCCATTTAGCCTTTATGGGATTAACACTCTTCTTTTAGCTGTCTTAATTCTTTTTTTTTTTTCTTTTTGAAAGCTTCTTGAATGTTTTATTGATTTCATCACAGTTTCTCCTTTGACCTTTTTGGCGGATCACTGCAGAAATGGGGAAAACTCACCTTGTCACAGAGTGGTACATTGTCTACCATAACCAATTCACTTGGCTATATATTGCTGCTCTTAGACACTTGGGCACTTGTTGATGCTACTGTAAAAGGTTTGTTAGGTCAAAATCATTTTGAATATCTTTAAACTATGGAGCTATCTTAACTGAATAATGGATTTCACTTACTCTTTTAAGGATATGAAGAAGAAGATGAATCTGCAGCATTATTTGATTGGAAATTTGCATTGATGGGTTCTGGTTGTGGACTGCTGTTGGGACTATGTCTTGGATACATTGTGTTCACAACAGGAAAACCATTGTGGCCAGTGTAAAAGGTTGAGGTATGTCGACAGAAGTTTGTGGGATGGTACGGTTTCAGAAATAAAAAGAGAAAAAACCAGCAACCTGATCGATGCTCTTAGGTGAGTTTCTGCAGCCAAATATGCTATTTATGATCTTTTTTAATCACGACAATGTATATAAATAATTAAAAATTTTCACTCCTGTTCTCAGCTCCACAGCGATGCTCGAAATTAGCTGCAGGCAGCTGCACTTCTTTTCTTCCACTTATAAGATCTAGCCAAAAAAAAAAAAAATTGCAAGCATGAGCAAACAGAGCATTGTTTGTTGTTCGTGAGTTCGTTCTGCATTTTCATAAGTTTCTTTCCTGAAATCCTATGGTTGTTTTTTCTTTTCCCTAATTTTTCTTGTTCAATGTTGAAAGAGCAACATCCTGAATGGGGATCATTGTTGTATTATATTAATATGAATTTAAGACTATTGGTTTCTTTTAATAAATGAAATCTATTTATGCATCTTCTTAATGGTTCTGGTTTCCTTAGATTAGACAACACTGCTACAAATAATCTAGACAATGTCTGGCCTTTTACTGCCATCTACACACAAAAGGGATCCATCCGCTACTCTGGATTCCCATTTCCGGGATAGGCTCCTTCAATCTCCCTTCTTATGAGTTATGATGTTGAATTCATTCCATTGCTTGGTAACATTTTGGATGGACAGCCCCATTACTTGGGGTTAGGTGTTGCCAATGCCTTAAATGTTGGGATAGCATAACCACAAAAACAGAAGGGAAACTATTGAAATTCGTTGGCATTCCGGTCTTTATTTCTTGACATTTTAATTACTGGTGGAAAACGGTACACATACTGTTGAGAGATGATGAACACCTGCAAAACCAACCAGCATTAGAGCTTAGTGAGAGATAAGAATTGGTCTCCAGCATTCAATGTAAGATAAGAATTTTTAAAGAAATACTAAGGACATGTAGGTGAGAAGAAACCTTGAGGAAGAAGATTAATTTGAAAGAGGCAGGAAGACTTTGTGCGAGAGAGAATGAGTGGGGTTATTTTGTAAAATCTAACACTTTAAAAGGAATTTTAACGGTTAAATTATATTATTTTGTCATTTAAAATTTTATTATACTATTTTTAAATATAATAATAAATATTTTAGGGAGATACTCATTACCCCTCTTATATC